CAAGAAGATGAGAATCATGCATTTTTGAGTAAGCTCCTGCAGGTAATCAAAGCTCTTGACAGCATTTATATATTTACTATTTCTGCATTTTTGTTCTGCACCATCCACACCAATTGCTCACCTTCCTGCAAAGGTCAGCTATTCAGATAACAGAATATGTGCATTTTCATATTATTGGATATAAAAAGAGACCTCAGTAATTAACAAATCACATATTGTGTTTGGCCACTAAATTGCATAAACTTGTGAAAAAAAATATTTCCTAGAGATGCATGGATAACTGATGATAAATTCAAATTTAAGACTAGGGAAACTAGATTTAGCTGCGTTTTAAAAGTACTTATCGCAAGTAAGCAGACTTTTTTTTTTTTCAAGTTGCTTTCAGTATCTCAGTCATGCTAAGAGGTAGCACTATGTATATATATGTGTGTGTGTGTATACACACAATCATATGCATGTATATTGAATATGAATTTGAAGTATTTTTGTATTTGTATATTTAACCAAAGCCCCAAAACAGACATCTGTAACTAGATTTTGCCAGGAAAGAATCAGCTTCCAGTGTAAGATATTTGAAATAAACACACATATATCCAGGAAAGGTGAAACGATCCTACTTAATAGCTTGCTTGGATGTGCATTTCAACCTACTGCCACGAAGAAATTCAACACATCATCAAATATGCTTCCGGATTGTTGCAAATGGCCAACTCGTAGAATCCACAATTGAAAAATAACTACATTTATTATTCTTTCTATATAAAATTCTTTTCATTAATGCTCAGCAACACACATTTGGCAGCTGAACATTTTTTTTGAAGCAGCAGTTAACAATGAAATTCACAAAACAAAGATAAGCTCAATGGTTTCCAGGAAACTGAAAGATGAAAGAATGTGGAGAGAGTCAGCCATGGTTTCAAGTGAAGAACAAGTGAACTAAGGTCAAACTAAAACCTAAAAGAAATTCAGCAAGGGCCCAGAAACCACGGTACAGATACATTTCAGTTGGATTGAAACTTCACAATGCATTTCAACAATGCATACAATACATTCTTTGGTATATTAATTCACTGGGGACAATTTTTCAAGATAAAGGAGGAACTCAGATTCCAAAGCCCTTAGTTTCATTACTTCAAGCATAATACTTAGCAGATTTTCTGGGTTTTATATTGATTGTAAAGTACATTAAAGTCTTATCTTCCAGACTTGTTTTGTGTGCTCAGTTCCAGACTAAGCTGAAACCATGAAGTCTCACAGCACACATGAGGTAAGGCACAGTGGAGGAATACATAAACGTTAACATTTCAGAAGCCAACACCTACTAAATAGCCTGCTCCAGAAATATTTTAAGTGTACTCCTTCTCTTTGAAGAGAAGGTCAGAGTAAAGCTACCATTATACAAAACCATTTGAATAATTCATTTTGCAGTAGTGGAAGAAATACAGGATTCTACCATATACACACAAAAAAATTAATAAAGTTACCTTTATACCTACAGTAAGCTACTCCCTAACACACAGAGCTAATTTCTGCTTAAACTATCCACAATTTCTACTAAGAAACAAAAACAAACAAATGAAACAACAAAAGAGGATTTTATCAGAGGAATTTTTTAAAAATGCATTTTAAAAAGTCATCTCTCAGACATTAAATTCATAAAATACAATATTTTAAAATTATAAAGCCTAATATAACCATGCGTTCAGAAATAACATTCCTAACTGCTGAAAAATCATCTCCTCAGAGGAAAGAATTTATTTCTAATTTTACACAGTGAATTAAAGTGGTTTAGGTAAGAGTAAGGGAGAAATTTAAATGCAATATGAATTTTAAATAGACAATTTAATTAGTTAAGCTAGAAAAATAACTGAACATTAAAAGCTGCACACTTGGAATCTTGCTAAAAGTGAGAGGCAATCTCTCACAACCTGTGTTTTATACCACCGAAACTACATTTTCACCAGTAATAATATCCCTTAGAACCATACCTAGACATTCTTCTTTTGACATACAGTGAAGAGTGCCACCTATTGAATAACAAACAGTATTTCCAGAAATGAATTAATAATTAAATTATTCTGGAAACTCACCATCTACATACTCCCCCCCTCAACCCAAGCATTCAGTCTAGCTTTTCACCATGCAGCTTCCTGGCAGACGGCAGTTTTGCTGCTAACATTGTTACAGAATTGATGGCCAAAATATTACTTAGAGAAATAAGGCATCCAATCCACACTGCATAAGAGTTATCTGATTTTTAGACATTCCCACACCAAGTAAGAAAAATTTTATTCAAGTATGTATGTTGCGACAGGTGATACCATGCTGTTTTGTCCAATCTTCTCTAGCAATAACTGTATTTTCCAGAAATAAGATTAGAAGGTGTCAAGAACATGAAACTAAAAAAAAGCAGTATTTTCTGCTCTTTGTTCACACAAAAAAGTATACATTCTCTTTGTATTTTACTGTTAGAAGGAAAAACCTACTTTCATTCAGAGATGAATACTTTATACTGGCAACCAAAGTACGTCACAGAGAACCTAACATACAAATATTTCATATCCATATGCTGTGAACTCAGAGTCATGCTACACAGCAGCAACTGATAAGAAGACACAGTGTGTCCCCCTGGAGAAGCATCACCAGGTGCTGTATGGCATGCAGCAATGCTGCTCTGACCAGGAGCTACACACTAGTACAGACAACATGATCTATGTTTATAAGCACTGTAAATTAATGTTACAGTCTGTCGATTTAGAGTTCTAAATACACACAATGCAGCCAAGGAAAAATGTGTGGTATGTTGCAAGAGTCTGCGTGTAATGTGATACCAAACAATACTGCTATAACCCAACCAAGACTTGGAACCAACCCATTCACTCACAAAACATTTGAATGAGTCAGCAGCCCGCTGCATTTCCCAGGCCTGCTGTAGACTATCATACAGTTCCCAGACGCACTTCCTCAGATTGTGTTTGCCTCATGAACAAGGTCAGTAGTGACAAAAAGTGATATAAAGGTCAATGACTAGGAAAAGATGACAATGTGCAGACTTATCTGTTTACCCATTAACCTATTTAATATACTGAAGTTCCACAGAATTCCTCCATTTATTTGCTTCCCATCTTTTAACTAACATAATAGAGAAGTGTATTAAAATGAAGGTCTACTATTGTTTTGGTACTGTGAACAGATAAGAGCTAAATATGCTGCCTTACTGTAGTGACACACACGCACAAGTGAACAGCTTCTAAAGCAGTCTCCTTGTCTGTAGTCTTTGTTCCCATACTCTGTAAGTATGTAAAATTAACTGACATCAAGAAGAACATGTCAATTAGCCTTTTCTTTTTTTCTCCCCAAACCAAAGACTAGACTGCATGTAGTTGTATCCAAATTAGAATTAAACCTTGTAGAAGTCTAATCATATTGGCTGTGCAATTTCAGCACTGCCAGCATAAACCTTGGATATGTAGATAGTGGCTGAAGTTTTTGCAACTGTAGCAACAGTGCTATCAGTAAATGAGATTATATCACTGTGGTTGTGCTCCTATGTGATCTGCACTGGAGATCCCTTTCTGAGGGTGATAAAAGATAATTGCAACAGTATTTGTCCTAACTGTTTACTGCAGAAGGTAAGCCTACTGCTGAGTAAAAACATCCACAAGCCAAAGGTAGACTACTTGGATTTTTGGTCTGACACAAACTCGTATATTAATGTTTTTATAAGTACATGAAAAACACTAAAATCAGCTGCACACAAGAAAACTTTCTACAATGCACAGCCATGAAAAATTACTATTTTTCCTTCAATGTGGTGATAATAAAAATTACCACCTGAGAAGCACATAAAAATTCTTGATCCTTTTTCTTGTTGAATCAAAAAAATCATCAGACTGGGGAGGAAGGATGTCTCTAGTCCAACCTGTTGTTCAAAGCAGTGTCAAATATGAGATCTAATCAAATGCCTTATGGCTTTTACCAGCTAGGTCTGCAAAATTTTCAAGGATGGAGATTTCAGAGTCTCTCCATGCAACCTGTTTCCCATTCTTAATTACCCTCAGAGGTTTGGGGGTTTTTGGTTATTGGTTTGTTTGGGGTTTTTTTGTGTGTTTTTTTTTTTTTTTCTCTCTTTCTTTTAAATACAGTTGGAACCTTCCCATTTCATTTTATGAATATTTTATTTTTACTGAGTTACATGGTGGGAGAACAAGAGACTACAGCTCTGTCTTCTCTCTAATGTCCTCTTTGCTATTGAAAAGCTACTGTTAGGTCCACCTGAGTCATCTCTTCTCCAAGTTAAACAAATCAATTCTCCTCAGCCACACAGGTCAAGTGCTTTAACCCCAAATCATCTTGGTGTCCCTCTGCTGAACAAACTGAGGTATATCAACACATTTCTTTACTGAGGAGCCCAAAACCAGATGCAATACTCTAGACAGTCTAATGAGTAGGTAAAGGGTAGTAATACAAATGGGAGTAATTAAAAGGAAATAATTACTTCCCTTAATCTACTGGTTATGCTCACATCGATACAGCCACGTAGGCTGTTATCCTTCATCATGCAGGCTGCAGGGCACGCTTCTGGCTCATGTGCAGTCTGTTGCACACCAGGTCCTTTTCAGCAGGGCTGCTCCCTGGTCAGACAGGCTCCACCTTGCACTGTTAGAGGGAATTATTCCTCTCTAATGCAGGACTCTGCATCCGTCCTTGACAAATTTCACCTGGTTCCTGTCAGCCCACTCCTCCAGCCTAACTCCCAGTGAGCGACAGCAATCAGGCTGGTCAAGCATGACTAGCTCTCAGTAAATCCATGTTCACTATTCCCAATCACCACCTTCTTCATTTGCACTTTTATGTCAGTTACCTGCACTGATGCCTCTTGCTAATCTTTCAGGAATTTACACAAGGTTGCAGATTTTGAGTTTATTTTAAGACACAGATGGAATGATTAAAGTTTTCAAACTGAGAGGAAAAAAATACAACAAAAATAGGAGACTTACAAGATTTTTCTCTAAGGATTTTAGCTGATGATCTATTTCTTTCAGACGATTTTGTTGCTCACGTTGTTCTTTATTGTCTCGCAGAACCTTTTCACCTGGAACTGCTTCTGGACTTCTGTTTGCATAAACCAGAGGATCCTGACAAAACGAAGAATAGGCAGAAATTAAACATATGACCTTATATTGCTTCAAAGCCAGACGGGTGTTCTTTTGATTTCTACCAGGAAAACACTAAAATGTTTAGAGTAACAATGTCGATTTCAAATTTGGGAAATGCTTAATTTTCATCAAGCATTTTCAAATACAATAGCTAAATATCAGGCTGGACTTATTTTAATAAAAGATTTCTTCCCCTTTCCATTTTAAGAGGAAGTTCTTAGTCTCCAGATCTAACACTTGATGCTTAAATTTTACTACAACAATAATGCACTGAGAACTGGGGAGTCTGAATGAGGGGTTCAAAGCTTGATCCTATTAACCATACTGGGATCAGAGTTCGGCCAGAAGGGAAAGGAAGAACTGAACTGACTGTAGGTTTTGTTCACTAGATATCACAGTAAATGAGAAAAAACCTTCTCTCTGTAAGTTGGAATTAGATGCACAACCATTATTAAAGATTTGGGTTACACATTCTCACATCCTTCAGTAGCTTTAGATCAGATGCTGAAGTCTGTATCTGTCCTGAATATATTCAAGGTTCAATGTTACATGTAATTTAAATCATTAAGAAAAACAAAGTATTGGCAAAACAGCAAAGTTATGTTGTAATTGGGAAAAAAAACCAGGTCTTTCTCTTGCAAACCAACATTCTTACAGAAGAACCCAAAGAATTCAAATAATGGTAGAAGGAAAAAAAAACAACCATAAGAACACGCTCTGTTAGTTAACCTAACTTAATGGAACATGAACAACCATTTAGTAAGAACATACTTTATTCACTCTTATTTTCAGAAGCAGCTCAAGCAATCTCAACACAGACAAGAAGAATTTAAAATGGTTTATCTAACTGGAAAAAGAAACAACCTTTGCAATTTAACAATGGAAAATTTCTTTACAGTATATTAAAAATTGTGAGCATTTGAAAACAACTTTTTCTAAATATCAATCCATGAGTTCTGAACATTTAAACCAAACTATTAGTTGCCTGAAAATAAACCTATTTTAAACCTATATAAATCTTTGAATATATATTTAAAATCAGCAATAGTTGGCAGTACCACAATACTAGTAAATTTTCCTATAACAGAGATATAAACAGCACCATCTGTTAATGATTAGAATCTCTCCAAACTGGACCAAAGTTTAATGTGGGCCACTTAAAACCAAACTCTTAGAGTGTCTAAAGCTAGACTTCTAAATACAGAGAGAGTTTTTTTTAATTAAGTATGATGCCCAATGGCAAAAAATTTGCATGACTGACATCTACACAGAACATAAAAAAAAGGACTTACTGAAACTTGTGTTTATTAATACGTGAAACAAGAATATGACCTTTATATCTGCAACAGAAATACAGAGTTGGCAAAGCAGCTCAAAGTATAACTGAAGCTCCCTCTAATATGAGGAATTACTTTTACATGGCTTTGCTCTTCCAGTGATTTTAATACAAGTGAAATTATTCATAGAAGGCCAGGGAGGAAGATGATAGCATCATATTACTTTTTCTTGGGGGGGAAGTTATAGCTTTTCCCACAATTACATTTCTAAATTCAGTCTTCTGATTGTGCACATATATAAATACACTGCCATGTAAGTACTGAGTGCTCAGCATGGATCAGAGGTCCAGTTAAGATTTGTTTTAGAAAGCCATGTTATGAATACACCTATAAGAGTATGCAACTAGTGGTACTGAGAAGTCACTAAATACTATACTATACTTCCTATTTTATTTTGGCGGTTGTATGCATGGACTACTGGTTGATATTTTCATATCAACTCTGCCACAATGAAGAACAGAGCTCAAACTGCAACCATCATCTCTGAAACTATTATTGCTGCAATACCAGCTAGATTTAAAAAGGTGACAGTGAGAGGAGTCATAAAATCAAAAAAGTTACTACCTTCCAATTTTTCACCTTCTTTTCCACACTCATTTCTGAAGCAAAGCTCTCCACAGATCTCTGTCCTAGTCTTCCAAATAGTTTCAAGCATACATGTTTCATTTCACAAACAGCTCAGCTGCTGCAAGCACTTATGAGCAACCTCTTCAAACATTAGGAAAACTATATATCATAAATTATTTTTCCTTTTATTACACTCAGCATGAATTTAAACCTGGTAGCTTCTCTAGTAAGACAATATAGTTCTATCAAAAGAAATTCTTAACTGGGATAAACATGACAACTTTATTCTCCATAAACTTTTCTTAAATATTAATTTCTGCCATGATACCTAACCAAGTCTTACCAGCCTGTGATGGATAAAACTTGAACTATGAACATCTACCAGAAAACAGAAGTAAAAAGTACTTGTTTCAACATTTCTCTAACATCAACATCCACAATTGATATAATTCCATTTAGATGAGATGGTAAAAAAATTGTTACTATTTACTCTATATCTGTTCAGCATGATTTTGCACACTTCAATCAACTCCTTCTTATTCCTTTTTTCCAGACTGAAGAATGTCTCTGTGTAAGTCACTCCTTGCGTAGAAGCCATTCTACACTTCTGAGCATTCTGGTAACCAGTTTTCCATTTTTTTGGTACTGGTTATGAGATCCAGGGACCACAATTGCACAACAGTCAAGCTATATAGTACATTACAGATGAGTACAGCAGCACAGTGGTATCTTCTGTTTCACACTGTATTCCTTTCATAATTGTTTCTAATAATCTCTTTGATTAAGCTGCTGCTTTCACAGAAGTAGTTCTTAGAGTCTCATTTCCCTCATCTCTGAATAGGAACTGATCAGAAGTCACATCATATCAGCAAAACTAAGACTTTTCCCCACTTAATTTTTAAATATTTTCTTACGATATCATGAAATAAATGGAGGAAAATTCATGGGAAACATCCTATTGGCAATGTTTCAAATGCTTCAAAACATTTTAAGTTTCGATTATATAGCATGTGTAGGTAGTGAAAGTCCATTGAGATTAATAAAGATATAAAAATCTTAAAGATGAGGTAGAAAATAGAATTTATAGATATATTACACAAGGGAAGATACAGGCTGTAATGATCATAATGCAAAACAGAAATATCCAGCGTTTCAGATGACTAAAATTATTTGTTTTACTCCCTTTTCTCCAGAATTCTATAAATAAAAGCAAAATCCTAACTAATGAAAGATACTAGTGTAATACAACCTGCTTGAATCACAAAACTTTTTGATCAGCTTATTAACCTGCTTCTAACCATGCTCTGAAACAGATAACTGTCAAAATCATCTGTTTTGATGAAATGCAACCATAGAGTACAGGCTATCAAAGAGTTCATTAATTGAAACAATAGTTCCTCAGAATTTTTTATAATTTTGAGTATTTATTTAGTTTTAAACTGTTAACTATAGTCTAATGCTATAATTGAAAAACTGAATATTTGTCTGATAAAAGAAGCCCAATCAGGTATAAAAGAACTCATCAAAGTAATAAACAACATTAAAGTAATTATATGACAAATCAAGCAGACAGATATTGTTTCTTTAAACACCATCTCCATCTTCTTTTCTTCTCAGGTAGTTTTTACAGTTTTTCAAGCTGGTAACTGTACTCATCACACACCATCTTACACTTCATATTCTTCACCCTACCATTTTCCTGTCTCAGGATTATATTCAATGTAATTTGTTCTTCCCCAAAAATATTAAGTAAAACAGAAGCATTTTTAAGTATTTAATAAAGTTGGCACCAGAACAAAGAAATGTTTCAGAGAGAAATACAGTTCTAATGAGAAACATTTCCATGTAAAAGACAACATTAGTCACGGAAAAGCATTCTGAATCCAGCTGGACTCATTGCACAAAAAGATGAATCTGTATGCTCCTCTGGAACAGCTCAGCTATGGCACTGTAGGATAATTAAAGCCAGTTGCTAAAGACTTCAGAGTCAGAGCATAGATCCTATAGCCTGCCAAAGTATCTATCGGGGGCAGAAGGCAGCTCTCCCGTTGAGACAGTTGTGATTAAGTGTTCGCATTTTGAAAAGTTGTATCTAATGCAATTCTTGGAAAAAAAGAATGTGCAGCTTTATGATATGCAATTCTAAGCTAATTTTCATTTAGAACTTTAGATGATTTACACACTTTTTCCCAATGCTGCTAATCACTAATGCATTGTACCCTACCTAACTACAACAGATGAAATCCACATCTCATGGAAATCAGAAAGAATTTCAGCACTGCTTTTTAGAAGAAAGATTAATATCACTGAAATTAGCCTCTTCTCCAAAGGAAAGGACATCCATGTTCCAAATCAGATTTGTGTCCTGTAGCAACTAGACTCATTCAAAATAAATTCTGTACGTTCAGAATATTTTTTAGCCCTCTCCTAGCACCTTAATTTAAAAAACAAAACAAAACAAAAACCACCCAAACAAACTTTAAAAAAAACAAACTCCTAAGAAACAAATACTGCAGTGCATTCAAATTTGCGTTCCATACCATCTGTGGCAACATCTTTATCTGGCAACATCTTTATCTAGCAATTAAGTTTACAGAATTTACTTCAGTTATGGGAGAAGTAGTGATACAATCTAAGCTGAAACTCTGAATAAAAGAAATTAATAGAAACTTATCTGAGACTTCAACAACACCAGATTATCATTATTGGTTTTGAATACTACAGATCCCCAGTCTCATCCAGAAATACTTTGGCTCTCCCAATGTTTAGAGGATATGTGTGAGAGTGAATAAATAAGGTAATTCCTGCATATCTAATTCACTCTATTATAAGTTAAATATGTCCCACTTCTAACTGGTTTTACAGAGGATAACAGCCTTCCAGTGCTGATCGCTAGATTACTTCTTCATTTAGTTGTGGTCAACTGAAGAAGCAATTGAAACTCTTTCCATTAAACACTTCAACCCAAAAAGGGCCAGGCAACCAGAACTCTTGCGCCCTTTGTCTTGCATGTGGCATTCATGCTAACATATCACAAAACAAGATCATCACCTAGCAAAAGCACCATTTAATTAATTTCTTCAGACCCTTTCTGGGTAGGTATCAATTACCTTTTAACAGGCTCCAAAAGGCATTCAGTACGAAGAATTCTGGTATTTCTCTGTGACCCACCTACTTTCTGGTATCAGAAGTGATGCCTCAAGAATAATAAAAAGTTTTTTTAAAAGGCAAATTCAATAAAACTTCCAGTCTATAACAATATTAGGGGATATTGATCATGACAAACAAGACTGTTTTAGAAAGACCATGAGCAGCAATGAAGTTAGAGAAACTACTTGTCGAAAAAAAGGTAATTTTTCTTGCCTTTTGACAGGAAGCTCTCTAAACTCAAAACAGTCATTAATTTCTCAGCTACTGCTGCATGTTACTTCCTGTTTTTTTTGAAAAAGCAACTGTTAAAGGAATTTGAAAACAAAGTATGTTGAGAATGAACTTGCATAACCAAATTCAGTACTTGACCTGTTGTTATTGCTATGTATGAATTGAAGAGTGATTTTTTTACCTACCAAAACAAAAATATCCATAGTGAAGAACATAGGACTGAAGGCTAGACCAGGTATGAAGCTTCCACAGTAAGCAGTCCAGTTCCTGAAAGTTGAGGAAACTATTTTCTCCTCCACTTACCATTAAAAAAAATTAGCAGCTGAAATTCTATGTAAATGTAAACAAGCCCGGTCATGTCACAGTGCCAGACAGATTGCACCTACCAAATCAGGCTTCATGAAGAACTTAACACTGACTTGCCTGAAGTCTGGATCACAATGAAACTAAGGCAACCACTAGACACCCTGTCTGCTGCCGAGAAGCAGCTCTGGACACGCAGAGAAGCAGGAATGAAGGCACCTGTGGGATTTTGGAGTCAGCTGGGAAGGCACTTGGAAAACAGGACACTTCTGGAATCAGACAGCTGCAGAATATGAGGGTTTGGTTTTCATTGTTTGTTTTGTTGGGGCTTTTTAAATTAGTTTTGCATTTATGCAATTCATATCCTAAATCCAGTTTTAAATAACTAAAGCCTCCTACTCTCTTCAACTTATATTTATTCTGTTTAGCTCTTTCTCTAAATTTATAAAACCACCTTTAAACTGTCCTATTCTCTGGTAGCTTTCATTTAAATGACTCACATGTTTATCTGAACAAAACAAAAAATGAAAAATGGAATCCTATGTTTCCCAGAACTACGTCTGAAAGCCTTTTATATGCTGCAAGAAAAGTTGAAGGACAAGTGCTTTTCACTAATGAAGGGTAATTTATGGAATTAAACTGTCTCTTTTTGGTTGTTAAGTTTAATGTTATTCAAAAAGATAATGCATTCCTCTTCAATAAGCATACACATAAATGCAAATTTCTATTTAAATACTTCAGAGCTTTTACCTGAAAAGGAAGCAACAACGACCACTTGGACAAATGTTCCCAAACAAAGTGTTCATTATCACAGGCAGTCATACTAACTTCAAGCTGATGTTTCATAACAGCAAACAAGATCCAGCAATCACTGGCAAGCTCAGGTCCATGGCTCTGAAGTCACTGGGTAACAACTGCATTTGCAGAAGTGGTTACCCACTAGAGGGAGTTGCTGTTTCACACATTAAATCCCAGTTGGTAAATGATCAACATCAAAACATGATGACTCTGTCAGAGCAACAGAAAATACTCCTAACAAAAGCTGAAGTTCAGAAAGAAGTCAATACAAAAAATTACATTACAGTGCCTTTAGAAAAAGAACACCCACTGGCATTTTAGCCATTCAGAGAGATGTTTCTCATACACTGGTAACTGAAAACATAGTTTTGCCAACGTACACTCTCACAGAGCCTCTGATATACCTGTTCTGGCTATATAAGTAAACAAGTTTTGTGAAATTAGTACAGAATAGGAATTATGGTGTTTTATGTTGTATTTCCCCCATTATCTCAGGGGCAAAATTACTAGGGCATGGGATAAATTGCAGTCTTCTATGTACAAAATTCAAACAATCATTTCTCAAGGCTGAGGCCCCAAAGGTTCTAATACTGCTGGCAAGAGAAAAAAGACAAAGGCCATTAAAATCAAGGGACATACAATTTCAACTGATTTTCTACAGTCTTTAACACTGCTTAACAATAATATCTTTATCTTTCAGATCGTAAGTGAAGAGGCACTTTTGAAATCCCAAGATAAGAAGAAACTTAATTCTAATTCCCAAAAATGAATTCTCATAGGTAATGTGTTACTATGCTCACAAAATCAGAGGCCCTCACACAGTCAGAAACATCTGAGTTACCAATTCCTGCATATGAAATTTCTTGTTGAAAGTCTGGAATCAACAAAAGTTAAAACCAAGACAGTCCTTGAATTATATACCACTCAAAATAGCAATATATTATTCTTCCATATGATTTCTATAATCAAAAATTTCACTTCATTCTTTAACACATGTACTTTGAGAACAAAAAGATGTTAAAGAAAAATGCAAAAAATACAAATACAGACATGTTGTATTTTCATTTACATCAGATTTCAACACATACTTTAAACAAGAAATATGCAACATAAGATCTGTTCTGTAATATACCTGATAAACCTGGCTTGGAGGATTTGAACAAGAGCTGGAAATTGCAGAAAAATCCCCATCAGATCGTAGTACTTGAAGCTTAATGTTTATCTCATTTAGGTGATGATATTCCGTTGGTTCGGGTATGTACGCTTCTGGTGCTAGCCAACCAGATACATCCTCCTATTGAAAGATACAGAAAATATTTAATCCTCATTCCCAAAGGAAACAGACTTTAAAGGCAGTTACACATCAAGTGTATTTATTCTTCAAATAAACCATACTTAAGAATAAAATGTAAGTTTTCATCCATCTCAGCATATAGCTGAAAGCTGCCATATACCTAGCACACTCAAAAGCAGATATGGACAGAACAATTAGAAGCATTATTTTTCATTTTTAAATATAACCAAGTAGCAACTTAAATGGACTTAAAAATATATATATATATATATTTAATTTTATTTTTAGAAAGCACATGTATCTACATGCATTGTTAAAATGTAATAGCAAAAAAGGTGTTGCATTATCCTCAACAGATTTCTGCTATTATTTTACTTGTTTCTATAAAAGTCCAAAGCCTGTGTCCTTACTGGCTGGCCACTCAGAAGTCCTGAAATAAAATTGCTTAAAACTAGATGCTTTTCCTCCATGCCAGCTGGCCAAAGATGGCTCCCTAGTTCCCCATTCATTCTTCTGAATGTTATACAACTCCCTTGGATCAAGTTCTCTTACACCCAAGAGAATAGTTAATCCCTTTTCCTTAACAATGCATCTCACTTTATAGCCTCTTAGGCAAGTTAGTCAAACCTTTAAAACAGTCTCATGCCATGCCACACCATGCCTGTAGCAGCTCCCTTCCATGGATGCAAACTCTTCCCTTATTGAGGTATCTGAATTTGTTCCAAATGGCAGCCCAAGCTCCCTTTTGAAGGAATAATTGCTTGTCATGGTCTAACTTGCATATAGATCTTGCTGTCCAGTGCTGCACAGTTAAAACCACTTTCTGATACCACTGACATGAAAATCAATTTAGGAGTGTTGTGCTCATTTGCAAGATAGTGCAGAGGATAGAGGTGAAGAGGAAAGCATCTGGCAGGCTTAGATCCACCAGTCCTAAGACAGAAAACATAAAGAACCTGCTATAAGGTCACATTTTCAATGTTAATAGTGAAGTGGAAAAGCAGTCCTCAGAAACTGCACTAGAACTGTCCTCAACATCATGCTAAATCACTTCTGTTACACCTTGCATTTCAGCACTCCTTGCTTGCATACTTATTCTGGAGACACTGTATTACAGCCTAAGTCCAAGGAACTGTACAGTCGACCATACAGCAAACTTGAGACAGCAAGATATTTTTTGCTTTTAAAAGACAAATGCAAGTCAACAGGCATAAAAATGAGATATTCTCAATTACACTGAACACATCAAACTCCCACAACGCACTTGCATCTAAAAGTCTGGCAGCAAACGCAGACACAGTCACACCTGCACAGCAGCACATTAGAAGTCCAAATAAGGTTGAACATAATACACTACTCTCTATTGTCCTCTGAAGGAAGTAGAAGCAACAGACTCCTGTGCCTGTCAAAGAAGGGAATACAACCAACAGCTATGTCTAATAGGACAACCATTTTCCATTTGATAAGGAGTCAAAAAGAGAGGAGGACACCCAGAACCAAGCTTGGAATGAAACTGCAGAGGTTGATGCTATGGCAGAAACCACCTGGAGCCAAATCTCAAAATGAGGGCATGAAGCATAATCCAACACTTGCAATGTATCTCCAAAGAAGAAAACTAGGTATCCATAGGAAAGCAAATGAACTGCTCCAAGGTGAGAAGCTACCGCCCTTCTAGAACCCCAGTGTGTTATCACAGGAACACTGGGAGAGACAGAGAGCACAGAGTTATTTTCCTGATTGGGATTTACATGACTTTTTCCTGTAGATAGAAGTAACACGTGACTAACCCCTATGGGTATGTACTCCTCGTACAGACAGTCGCATATTGTGAGTGAGCCTGGCCCACTTAACCCTGACAAACGCGCTCATATTACAAACAGATGCAGGTTCTCCAGAGTAACCCGGCACTCCTGGCTCACACTCAGGGAAGCAGGTCTGCGCAACCGCCATTCCCTGTGAATGACACCAGCAGGTTACGTTTCTGTCCTGACTGCAAAGAAACACCAGGTAGTACCTCAGAGGGGCAGGACAGGGATGTGGGGGAGGCCAGGAATATATTGCTGGTTTCCTTTCTTTTTCCTAACAGAAGAGGCACAGCACCTTGCCTTGACTTCCAACATCCATCTTGCAAGGGATTCATGTCCACCACTCCTTTACAGCTTCCAGATCAGTCCTCTGGCTATTCAAGCAGCCACGTCCACACCACAGGAGGAAATAGCAGCTTCCAATTACAATACCACTGCTGTGAGGTCATCCCTGCTTCATCCCCATTACCCTAAAGCACACTGGTTACGAAAAGAAAAAAGCATACCCCCAAACACCTGTCATAAATTACCACCATACTAAATTAAAAAAAAAAAAAAAAAAAAGAAAAAGGGAGAGTCATCTATTTTGTGAAATAAAATCGGTTCTTCTAATGCCTTCTCATACAAGTATGATGACACAACTAGTAAGTCTACCAGACGTGACCTGACCCCAGAACAGCCACTCAGAAATGTCTCTAGAAGCTTGCCAGCTTTGTGGAAGCACCTGCTCAGGTGAGACAGTGACCTTCACAACGTATGTATCCAATGTGGTACTATACTTGTACCATGTTAACCACCCCCTCATCAGCCACTGAAAAGCACAGTGCGAACACACAGAAATGACTCTACAGTAAATCAGTTAAGATGCAATGGGGCTCATTAGCTACAGCTCAGTGTCTATCATATCTCACATATATCCCATGGTCTAAGTATCCAAATTACTCCAATAGTCACTTTACTCCAGGATTAAACTGACTAATGCATTTGTATTTTCAAGATAGCTTTGCTTGGAAAATGTTTCTGTCCTGTCAATGTTTCCTGTGTGTTAAATCAGAACAATACTTTTATAACAGCAGTCAGTGCTTACTACTGTGGAACATCTGAAACAAATTATAACCCTGCAGTTTGACAATTAGATTAGCATGAATATGTACTTCTAAAATATTTTAAATACTCATAAAACAATTTTTTTTAAAAGTGAGGAATGCTGTTTGGATATTTGACATAATTAGTAGTACAAATCAAATGAAGTTATCTAATCCACATTACACTATACCGAAGCATTCATACAGTATATCCAGCTCTGCCGTGATTGATAACCTCCAAAACATTACTTTAGCCAACGTGGTTACACCAGCTTTTAAAAAGTCAGCATGAAATAACATGAAAGTGGCCATCAGCTGGACAGTTACCTGGGCCAGATTGAAGCAGTCTAGATTACTCATTAGCTGATAATTTCCTCATGATCTCTGTTATAAAGCAGTCACAGGAAATGCCAAATCCATAACATAATTCATATGTGGGAGAAGAATAATCCATCTCCAGAGTAGATAGCTTTAAGTAACTAAGTATTATCCTTGGTTTTATTCTGCTTTGGCAGTATATTTAGGAGCTATTTTCTTTAAAGAGATGATCTAGTACAGACTAGACTAAGTCAAACACCTCTGTGCAACATCATTAACTGCTAAGTATTTTACACAGATAAAAAAAGGCAATCTGCAAGCTTGGTGTTGAAGTCCAAAAAAATTAAATAAGCTTTCTATGTAAAGCGAGGGAGCAAACATCAGGTCAACAGGAAGACTGGTACAATTTTACAGAAGTTGAAGTTTTCCATCTCCTGACCACAAGCACCGAGTGTGGCTGATAGTTTTAAGCCTTTGTATACCAATGATCACCAAAGGTTATGTTTTCTGTGCTTCTACTTTAGCTTACTAACTGTGAAAGAACAGCTGCTGTTAAAATACTGCACATTTCTATAACCTTAGTCATCTGCCCATCATGTTTTCCCAACTGACAGAGACTACTTCACTTACATTTACCTCACACAGCTCTGAGGATGCCAAAACACAGTGTATATTTACTAGCTTCCCTCGAGTAAAGAGAGAAGTTTTGGACCACAGATCGAATGAGTTTCAACCTAGAAATCACACTGAAGTTGGGTAAATTACAGATGCGTTTAAAGTCACAAACCATGGGTATGTTAGTTCCCTGTTTCCATAACCAGTTTGGATTCAGATGAAGAAAATCCTGAGCTCACCTCCTTATCCTGAAACAGTAATTTGTAAAGGTGGATTTTATACACATTTTAAAAATGAGTAAGCACCTCTTGGATGACTTCACCATCCTACTAGAAAATAACTCAAAATAAAACATGGGAAGAGACAAAAAAAAAAAAACATTGCATTTTATTTTTTTTCTTTCTCTCACAGTTTAATCTACTGAAAAATAATTTACTCTGGATAATTTTTAACTGTGTAAATTAAACAGAAACCAGACCTTGGATATATTTTGTTCGTTCTACGCAGAATTCACATCTTCCTTCTAAGGTACTGTGATTCAGTGTATACTTACAAATGCTGTGAAAAAGTTCGTAACTTTACAACAGACTTAAGATAATGTACATTTTAATGTAAAACAAATTGTGTAAATTTTTTTACACAGAGCAAGCATTTTCCCAATATTTTTTATTTTTTAAAATGCACGTTTCTTGAAGCATCACATCAAGTTTGCACAGCTTGAGGATGTTCATTCTATGAAAACACCTCTTTAGTGTGTATAATACCATACATAGTTGAAAAGTAGCGTAAGTTCCTAGTACGATTCATTTTTCAAGACAAATTTTATCTTCCTATCCTAGCACCTTATGACTATTTCTGTAAAAAAGAGCTCCCAAGAACAACTTCAGTGTGACATTCCCCTCAAATCAGTAAGAAATAAAGGCTGTCTCCTTGTAACTAGGAGATCAAAAGACTATTTGATGTCTTCACATTACTGGGAATCATTTTGTGACACAGACCCTCCTAGAAGCAGTGATTGGTGGGACAATCAAACATGCTTTTTTACTCTCCACAAGGCAAGGTATTTCTATCTACTTCAGCTCTTGCTATCCACTGCAGTATGCAGACTGTACACTCTTTAACAATATTATGTTCAAGCATAAATGTCTAACATAAGCAGACTTTGGGCCCTCCATATACTTTTAAGACAGAGTGAGTTGAAAGCCACACTGAGATGGCATGTTATCTTTGTAAATGGACACATAAGCTCCATCAATGCCTATTTCCCCGATTGCTGCATTCTGAAGTTCATGTCCTCAAAAAACATTTGGCAATCTTTTTTTAAATAGTTGCTGAACCTTCTACCTGAGACTACAGCACTAGTCACCCTGATAGACTGCAACTTCACATCTTCTGCAGAGAAAAGGTCCATCTTCTTCTCTGAGTGTGCTTCTAAGGCTCCCTCCACCCATGTCTAACTTAAGTTCTGCTGCTTTTCTGAGGCCAGGTATGTCCAAGTGTTAGTAAAGTGAACAAAGAAGCCAATGAAAATTCCTTCTTGGAGACAAAACCAATTGGATTTGTCCAGATTTTCTCTCATATCTCAGTAGGTTACTTCATGGTAGGACTAAACCCAAAATTTAGGTTTAGCATAAAAATAAGCCAAACACAACAGGACAGTACAAATTAAAGTTGCCATACCTCAAGACCTTGTAATTCAATTCCATCTTCTGTATCTTTCAATAGTTCAATTAGTCTTTTCCTTTCTCCCTCAAGCATAACAACCTGGTTTCCTGAATCCTTTACTAGCTGAAATATTTACAAAAAGGAAAAATAAACAAACTTTAGAACTCCATTAGCTCAAACAGGACCAAAACAAAGTTTTTAAACTCTGTGAAATTAACATCCAAATCTTGCTTATTGCCATAATACAAATTATCACTGTGACAGAAAAATCTAGCAGCCTGCATATAACAAACTGATGATCTTATAGCAGCCTTTGACATGGTGGGGGTCAGGGGCGGCAGATACTTTTAATTGGATGAAAGATCGTTGCAGCTATTAGGTCTTCACAGAGGGGAAAAAAAAAAAAGCATGAAAATGAAGGCATCTGTTTTCTGACAGAAAGAAGTCTTCTGTAAATAAGGGTCCTATGCAGGCTATATATGAATAACCTGCATACCACAGATGTCCTTATCTATGCATAAGAATATCTTCCTTTAACTTAATAGTAAATAAATTTAAAGGAAGTCTTAGGAAATATTTGCTCTCAAAACAAGCTATATCCAGGCAGAAACAGAATAATTCAGTTTCCAGTACTCTTAGCAAATACATAGAAGCAGTATTATCCCCACCAATATGAGCATCCAAGATGAGAACTATCTCATACAGCACTCTGCCATAAACAACATTCTTTAACAGCAATTTTTTTTTAATTTATGCCTGATTAACTTTTAATGTTCCTTATAAAGAAGCCCAAACTGTCTCCAGAAATATTTATATACTATTTTTAGTTAACATTTAACAAAATGGTAATGATTTTATACTTTAATGCTTACCTCAATGTTCTTCTTAATGAAATTCTGACTTTTTTTACTTTTGCTATGTGTTTCTTCTGCTTGATTAAGAAATTCATTTGTTTCTAGTTCACTTGGATAATCTGAAGTTTGAGGAAGAAAAATTTTCTGATTCAGTGAGAGCTGTAATAACAGCAATCCCATTTATATTTTTAACAAACATATAAAGTGGATAGACAAACTTTTTATATGCTGTTTTCATTATTTATATAAACTGTATTATTATTTTTGAAACATAACTGTTGTCAAAATCTGAACTAATTTTTAAGCTTTTATTATATGAGATCATTCAATGTTGTGAAGCCTAAAATACTTTCGGATTTCTGACCTCAAAAATGTTAAACATGGCGGCTTTAAAAGCCACGGCATTCCTTCGAACCCTATCATTGTCTCAGTTTTATCATCAGTACAAAACCAGACAATAATTTTTTTTTAAAACCACAGAACTATTTGGAGACATATCGAGTACATTTTTTTAAATAAAACAGCTGAAGAACAGATGATATAGTTGATATTATTATAACACAGCTTATAAAACGCATTTTGCTTAAAAATAAAACTCATCATAGAGCTGTGAAGCTATTAAACAGCCACATGGTATTCTGACAACATCACACATATGGTTTTTTCCAACAATGGGTTTCTACCCATCATACCAAAATGGGCACGTATTCTGTTTTTCAGATACTTTTACAGTTTTAAAACAGCAATTCCTTTATGAACAGCAAATATTTATCACATTAAATAACAAGTATAAGCAAATAGAACCAACTTCTAAGTCTCAAAAACTACTTCAAAAGTAGGCATGGCACTTTTTGCTTTTTTGGAAAGTAGGTATTTGAAAAATAGGTGGGCTATTTTCTTGTAAAAAAACCCAATTTAACATGTTAGATGATAGGCTATGGGAGTTTACATGGAAGTAACTCTTTTTCCAAGAGAGTAGACTGAAAGCAAACTGATTGAAACCAAAGATTTCGTGCATCCTTTTACACACTATGGACAAAAAAAGGTGTAACATTCTCATTAATCAGACTTACTCTCACAGTGCAAGTAAACCTTAAAGGACTGAGGTGTTGAAACTGACCAAGAAAACTCTGTCACAGTTCAAATGCACAACTGTTAACTGAAAGCATCCCAAACTATATTTAACATTAACTTGAATCTATCAAGGAACTGGATCATAGAAGAATCTACCAATCAATACAAACATGACAAGTTGTATCCTGAAATGAGCAAAACACACCAAACACCAAAATAACATGCAACATATATGAAACATTACTTTTAAGCTAGATCTTTCTCTAACTGTAAAATAAGCGCTTTTGAGAGAGCGCTATCATACGGAACATTCAAGTAAAGAAGGGACAGACATGGATCACTGTGGCAAAGAATACACAAAAAATCACCATGGGTAAGTAAAAGAGAGACTGCAACTTAACAAATTTTGCATACGCATTTTCATAGTGTCCTGGGTTTGAGTGAGATTTGGTATAAATTTCAAAGATTTGGAAGAAATCTTGATGAGACTGATAAAGTAATATTATAAAACTAATACACATATTCTTTACAAGTTAAGTTCCTCTTGTTCAGCGTCTGCCTTTATGACAACTTTTACACAGAAATCGAAGAGCAACCAAAACAGTCAGTCTTAGCTGTTCAGAAACTGTATCAACTGCCTCCAGCAGAAATAATAAAAGTCATTTACATAATTTATTGTCCATAAATTGTAAGTGATCTCTATTTCATGTGTTCAAAAACTAGGAGAATGTAGAACATCTCAAAATAGCGCAAGCAACAGCAACTCCCAACCATGCCTGTACTGGGACCTCCAGAAGACACTGCTGTCCTGAATACTGGTAATGAAACCTGCCATTGCTATTCAAGGACACTCCAGCACAACTCAGAAACTGTGAAGGTGGAAGCTGAGGGTCAAGCTTCTTCTTAAGGGAGGAATGAAGACACATGGTAGGATGACAGAGAAATCAAAAGCATAGCACTGTTCCAACCCAGCGCGAAGAAACATTTAATAACACAAAGTCACATACTGCTGGCCTAAGACAAATGGTAAGGGAGCTGAAGCCTAGATTTAAAATTAAAACATGCAGTCAGATTCTAACAAGTGCAGAGATTCTGCTGCTATCAATGGTTCAACCTCAAGGAACATCTGTTTATTATGCCCTTGTCATCTCAGCCAGTCACCAGGAAGATGGATTCCTTCTGTTTACATAGAATGGTAGATGACAAAGAAATAAACAATTGCAGCTGCTAGAAATGGCAGCTAAAGCTATTCTTCTTATGTCACAACACGTGAGAAGTTACTCAACCATAAAAATTTGAATTTCAAATAGGGAAAGAACAGAGGCACAAAAGCACAATTCCATTTGTTTTGAAGTGTGGACACACTACACTGCTACTAGCATCTGAAACCTCTATAAGTGCACGTAAACAAATGATGTCTAAAAGAATCAGCACAGACGTTTGATTTTTGCCAGAAAGTACTTAATCCATAAAAGCAATGCAGGCTTTACAATAATCAGCATAACAAAATATAAAAGGTGTTGTCCAAAGATTTACGTTTGTTACATCTATACAATTTCCCCTGAAGACAAAAAAAAATAAAGAAATTGTATACAGCACCACTCATTTTTGGATGGTTTCTTGACTGTAAGCCTATTAATGAAAGTTACAGTACCCTAGAATAACAGCAAAGATAAGTTTTTAAAGAATTACCATGAAGAACCAATCATACATTTTACAATTAATCAGTTACACCTCATTATTTTGCAAAGAAAGAAAAAAAAACTTTTATAAACCCTTCTTGAGTAACATGTTTTAGATAAGTCACAAACAAAATTATTCTATCATTTGTAAACAAAATATCAACTGTTGCCATTCCACTAAGCAACGTTGCTTTTTCTGATTTCATTGGCTTAGCCACAAAGGCCAAGTCTTCATTACCCGCCCATTGTACATGTTATTTTGTCATATCTAGAAGTACAAACTATACAATTAATAAAGCTTACCTTGATTATGGTGGGGTTTATAGCAAGCATAATCTTCTGGATTAATTTGTGTATGAAATACTGAAGTACATATTTCATCTTCTTTTGCATGGGAGGGATCTGCAAGGAATTTTTTCAATAAAATTTAATTGAAAAGTATTTAAGGAAGATCTAGTTTCATGTGTATCATACTGTAAGACCTCACACGTGAAAATTGAATAAAATTTACTTAGATAAATGACATAACCTCCATGTTTCTCAATAAATAAAGGAGGGGGGAAAGTGTAAGGGGTGTCTCATAAATAATTGTGCTGTTTCATATGGTTGTGTTTCGTTTTTAACAACTACTGCTCATACAGAACAAATAATTACATTCTACAAGATGCAGGCCAAGGTCTTAAAGCTCAAAAGCCTCTGCAGGCACCATGTGGCAAGTCATCTAGAACTCTGAATGAAAATAAAGTATCCAGGTCTTCACAGCTGGTGTCTGCCTGTGCGTGAATTATTAGACATTCAAGTGGCTTAGGTCAGGGGTACAGTCTAGAAAAAAAGGGATCAAACATCCTAGCATGCAGGAGTTGTTTCAATTACTCAAGAAAAAAATTCCATCCTGGTATTGACATATATCAAGTAGAAGTATAAATTAGAGCACTAACTTGCAGTCTATACCCTCAGCACTTACAAAAAAGGACTCATATTGCAAAGAACCATATATATCACACATGAAAAATGTGTTTTTCACAATGAAAAAAAAAAGCAACCAACATCCTGTAATAATGCAGTTTAATGGACTCAACAGAAAGAATGACTTTGTTACACAGAGCACAGGGGAATAAATTTAAGGCCGTTGAATTAACTCCTGATTTACATTTCAGCCATGAGTGTGTCAGATGGAATTTTTGTGCCTGAGAGGATGGGACACACAAGTTATTAATGATTTTGTACTCGGAACTTGTGTTTCATTTCATAGCCATATTAAAAGCTATAATTAAATAGCTCTCCTATATAATTTATTTAATAAAGCTCTTTATCAAATTCAAGCTCTGAAAAGCAAAATATACTAATTGCTTTCCATTCCAGTATAAACCAGGGCACTCATTTAAATAAGTTAATAAATAAGACCTGAAAAGTAAGGCACTAGCATGTCACAGAAAACTCAAGATAAAGATCAAGCTGGAGTTAAAATATAAATCTAAACTATGCAGAGTCTTACCAGTATGGTATACATATAATACACATGATCACTACAGCAAGGAGTTACCTCTGAAATAAGAGGACTGAAGCATGGAGTTCATTAGCAACCATATAGTCTTACTTGCCTACTGTTTTTTTACTATCTCCTGACATCTACTGGAGACTTTTCAAATTTCACCTGTATCAAATTCTGTGTTCTTCCCTTAATAGCCCAAACTTTAGCATCGAGATAAAACCAGGTTACCTTGTAATAATAAGTTTTGTACTTCCAATATTCAAGCTGAGATTTTTGCTTAACAACAACCAGACCTCAAGTCCTTGTTCTCTGCCCAACAGGAAACAGCAGGATGCACCACAATTCTGTTTCCTTTCAACCAAGGTATACAGTTAAATCACCGAGACAGAGTACTCAAACAGAGAATTTTTTAAAACCACTCTCGAGCAGTTCTTACATGGTATACTGACATATTCAGTCTTGTTTTGTTCCCCCTGGCCCTCCCAGTAGACACCATGAACAGAATGCCTACAGTTTGTTCCAGTGTCTCACCTAGTAAGAATCCAGCTACAGAAAGAAAAATTACATTTTAAAAGACTCAATATTTTCTTTTTCCAGGTCCCTGCAAGCACACACATCCTCTGTGCATTCCTGAAGAAAGCTACCAATACTTCAGAACATGATTCAGCCACTTTCTTTAGAACTCCAATGGAATTGTGTCCTTATGACTCAGTAAAAAAACATTTCTAAATAGTTTTTCAACTTTTCTTTTCCTATTAGTTTTACATTATTGTTATTTACTATACTTTTGATCATAGTTAGTCTTTTTCTGTTAGGTATCACATTCCACATTTCTCTGTTATCATTAACTATTTGTTTACCTTTCCTGTTAAAGAACTCAGTCCTTCATTAGTCATTTGTCTACTTCTAATACAGCTATAGACTTTGGTGCTTTGAATGCTACTTAAGATGGACGTGATTTTTCCTGAAAGACTAAAATGCAAACATTTAATCTTATTGGTGTGTTCATTTCCACTTTGAATATTTTTGTCTTCATTGTCATATGATGATGAAATTCCGAAATTATCAGACTTAGTGTTTTTTTCTTCCTGAGAATAGTCTGCTAGCATCTTTAACACAGTTTCATTTTTTTAAACTTCCATCTATCATAAATCTTCTTCCCCAGATTTCCCATGAAAGCAGCCAATTAGAAAAACTAAGTTCATGTTTCATATTCATGCCTCTTCCTTAGAATCACACTCTGTATTATCTGATGATCCCTTTTACTCAAATTTTCTCTCACATTCAGAATATTAAATTATTTTAGAAGTTAATTAAATGTAACATAATCAGTATCAAATGTCATGTAAGTGACCCATACTCCCTTTGGTCTATTTTCCAAGACCTGGGCTGTGCATGCATCTTCCTGTATTGTTTTCCGACACATAACTCAGTATCATAATTTGGTCCCATTCTTTTGGTCCTTCTGTTAACAATTCATAAAGAGGCTCAGGATTTCCCTCCCTCTGGACCTGTCATGGTATGAGATCCTTACTATGGCATTGCCATTGTCTCCTTCTCACTCTTTCTCCCACTCCCACATGAAAATTTGTTCCAAGATACATGTGTGGCAGGGCCCACATCTCTAGAGCTTCTAAGTAACATTTTTAGGCCTAATATTTTTTTAACTGCCTACCCTTCCTGCACCAAGTATTCCAGCCTGGCAAACTCTCTAAGACCACCAGTAACTACACATCAGTAACTTCATCATGTTGTTTGTTTACCAAAGAGATTTTTAATTCCTTGCTTATTGCCCAGATGTTCCAAAATGATAAAGACATCCAGCTTTCTCAGCAGGCTTCCATTCTGTTTTCCCTATGCCTGCTATCGTTAATTTACCAATGTTATCAGTCAGGCATCATTTCTGAAATCATCTGTGTTTGCCATCAATTTGAAAAATGGAAGCTTTATCTATCCTGTTTTTATATCCTTCCAGAGTAACTAGTTCTTTGAAAAAATGCAGTTTCTATAAACAAAATTAATGTTAAAGTACAACTTACACATTTCTAATAATACAAAAATTATTTCAGTTAATTTTTAAAATAGTCCCTTTATGTACTTTCACATGCAAATATTATTTCATTGTATAGGTTTGAAAGCTTTATTTTTATGGTATCCAACAAAAATATTAATCAAAACACAGGAAAATTATATCAGGGTATTTGCTTCTCTTTCTTACTTACCAGATGTCTCCTGACATGATGAGATCAAAGCTAAAAAAAGTTTTGTGTTTTCTACCTCCTCGTGGCTTCCAGTGGTTCTGATAGACTATTCAAAAGAAATAAAGCATAAATATACAAGTACATACATATATTTACTTTAAAGTAAAGACTCTAAAGCACAATATATTGTCCGCTTATCAGATCTAAAGAACTTCAGACCCTTTTAAAAATTCCTTGTTTGGTGGCAACACCTGCTTACCACTTTATTTTCTTATTGTGGCTATCTGAACATCTCCTAAAGTTATGATAAAGGCATGGTGGAACTTTGAAGTCTCTGGTATATATTATGTCTTACATGGAGACACATTTCACAAGACAAAGTAGTTCTGTAATGTATCTGGCTCTGAATCCAAATCCATTGAAATTCTGAGATGCAGTCAAACCAACTGCAGTCATGTCTTTTTAGCAGCTGACATTTGTATTCATGCAACTTATAAAATACTTCACCTCAGAGGTTCTCATGTTTCAAGGCTTAAAGTGACATTTAACAACTAGAGACCAGGTCAGGAATAATGTGAAGGAATTTGTGCTGTAGCATTCTTATACCTTCCTCAGGGGGCATCTCTAATTTCTTCATTAATAGACAGTACTGAAATAAATGGGCCTAAGAACAGTCGCACTAGAGCAGAATAAATGCTCTTTGGTCTGGGTTCACAGATATTGGCTCTTGTCATGCTTTATCATACCTGCAAGTAGCGAGCTCAAGCATAAGACTACGCTGGTAAAGCACACCTAGACAGCTGTGTATTTGGCTATTGGTCGTATCAATTTTTAAGGAACATGGCCTTCTTTCAAAACCTGCCTAGCCAATATATATTAAAATCTATTCAAAGTTACTTTTTAAGACCCATTTCTTCACTTTAATCAGCCAACTGTGAGTTATTTAATAAAGCAATGAGTCTGTAAAATACGGTAATTCTGTAAGACAGTCATCTAAGATATACTATTTAGAAAATATGCAGAACACTTCTAACCTGAAGTTCTTCCCAGAGCTTTGCCCTTATTTCTTTGCCTTGTTTTTTAATTGCTTTCTCCTTAAAATGTTTTTTTGCCAGTATTGTGTCAAATTTATTCATTCTCTTTATAGCTTTTTGAATCTGAGGATCTACATTTGTTTCTTCAGAACATTCCAAGTTGGAAGAGATTGCTGTAGAATATATTTAATATTAGCATGAAGCATTTCAACTTTAAAAACAAACAAACAAACAAACAAAACCACCCACAACAAAAACAAACAAAAAAGCAGATCAAGTTATTTGATAATAACAATAGACAAGAGTACAGTTATTCTCAAGCATGTTAATTTCTAAACCTGTTTGTAGCAGGGAAAAATACGTCTTTGTAACAGAACGCTGAATCAAGCTCTGAGCTGTAGCAGTTGGATATGGGGTGTGGGGGAGGAAGAGCACCCCCATTTTGGGCAAGTGATTCAATTCAAATTCGTAATGGAAGAGTGACAAATCTCCACAGTATCAGCAAAAATCACAGACAAAATAAACTTAAAAATAAAAAACAATTTCTTCAGCCTGACTAGTAGAATACATGTTGAAATGTCATTCATTAAAATGAGTAATTCTGGGGTTGAGAGGGACTCTGTAGTATCTCTACTTCTAAATGTTACAGAAATTTCAGCCTTGACTTATATCTCAGCTAAACCAGCTCCTGACACTGGTTCTAGAAAAATGCTGTTCTGAAAAACAGAAATAGTGAAACGTTATGAAAACTACCATTATTTAATTAAATAAGATTTTGGTATTGTCTCTATTTTTCCTAAACATCCAGCTTACAATTTCAATTTCTGATCACTTTTAGCTTTTCCCCTTCCTATAGCATCCTCATGCTCTGCCCTTTTTTTTTGGTCAAACTTAGTTTCAATAGCAATAGTAGAGGAAACACTTGCAGCATTGTCCTCTTCCCACAGACTTCCAAGTTTTGGAGTCCTGAAATATTTTTTATTTTTTAATCTTTTGAGGTCAAATGCTTTACACACCCATTGATCCCAAGTATTTACTGTGATGCACTGGTCTACTCTATGCCGTAAAAAGAGATGAGTGATGCAACAAGGGAAGAACTATAAAAAACAAACTGAGGTCCAGGGAATCCCCAAGGACAGAAGATTTAAAAAGAGCACTTATTTCAACTGGCCTGAACCCAGCAGATGGATCTGAACCTAAAACCACTGAGTGAAGCTTTGAAGTTGAGTTCTATCCAGTCTCTGTTCTGCAGAAGTGAATATGATGTTAGATGACCAGCACTAGATGCTGCACTAGAGAGAATCACCACTGGATTCTGCCTCATTAGATTGATCAAATCTATCTAAAACTCAAATATTATCAAATCATTAAAGGAAGTGAATATCCTTTTAAAAAATAATCTTTAAGTAAAGAATTCATCCAACCCTTTTTGAATATCACAATGCATATACATTTTCAGTTTGTAATATTTGCTTATAACTATGTAATATACACACAAATACACTATGGTCCCAAACTCTCCTAGAAGCACTAACAAGTAAAGGGGAAAAGAAAGAAAAGTTTTATTACACTGTTCACTTTATACACCTGAAAAGTAATACCTGCTTTTGCATTACTTAGTTTTCCTTGGGAATATTCATAGAATTTTGAAGTCTGTGTTTCAGTGCCAGCATCTCCAGAATCTGAATTAATGATACATCCTGAAAAATACAGGAAAAAGCATTTCACAGATATGAAATAAACTTTTAAAGATACTGTTTGAGATGTTATCAATTAAGAGACCAAAATACATTTTGGTCAGTTAGGGATCAACCACAAAGCCTCTAAAGTGGATTACCGTCTAAAAAAAATTGTACGTACTAGCATTCATGTTAAACACAAGAGCTAAAATCAAGGAATTTCTTTTGACTCTAATATTGTCATGAATTCTTATCTAAACTTGAAGCAGATATCCAAACTTTCTGCTTTACACACTGGCCTTCGCTTCTCTATTTTTAAATAGTCAGAAGCTCTAGAAAGTTAATTTATTACCATATGTAGAATTCCAAAAGAATGACATCTGAAGCACTTCTACAAATGCTTTTGCTGCAATGAGATACTGCATATTTATATTTAAAGTGTTATTAGTATTAGCATTGTTCAGTTGTTAAATACTGTAATTTACAACCATAATTTCCAATTTCTTGGACTGGTAGACCATTATTCGGATGAAAACTTTCTAACAAATGATCACTATCTCTGTAAAATGTTTGATAAAAACACCTTACTGTAAACACTTTCTAACATGGTTCCATGGAACATGTGCAAATGGTTTATCCTGATCTTTTAAGCCACCATCAAGGTGCAAGTCACAGCTTACATGCCACGGGACATATGCTGTAGTGGTAATGGCAGTAACAACACATTTCTTTCAAAGATGAATTCAAAATAGTGAAGAGAAGTGAAGGTATGAATTTTGACACCTCCTTCTCTTCTAGAATTTTACCCATTCACATCATCTTTTCCCTACACCAAGAGAATTTTACCCAAACTACACAAACAGGATATTTGGTCTAGCCACAACAAAAGAAAGTGTTCATCATTCACACACCTGACAACTTGTTGGGGTTCAGTACACACTTCTGAAGAAAGAAGGTCATACTCTCCACTGTGATTTGCTGATCTGTTCTCATTTCCTTGACATCAGTTTTCTCTCTGTCATCACCTTTGTTTTCTTCTGGGAAGCAGTCTTCTAGACTGTCTCTTTGATGACTACCAGCCAAACTGACAGGTGAACCAACCTATGAAATGCAAATTAGTACTAACATCAAAATAGAAATCTTTGGGGAGAAGAGAAAGATAATCACTAATCACAGACTAACACAAAGGCCAACAACAATTCTTTATAAGACTACAGAGTACTTCTTAAATAAAAGAACCATTCTCACACCTGATACAGAGTTGGGTTTCTTAGATAACACATGGAATCTCAAGGTCATTATTCCACAGAGTGCCAGATCTGGGATTACCAGGCTAGGAAATTATTCCAAAAATTTATGCCATTTCTGCTGCAGCAGAGGGTACAGCCAATCAGTTAAGAGTCTGCGTGTAAAACAGCTTCATCCATTTCCTGACACTGTGTGTGCTCTCTACCTGGTAGCATCCCAATCTCTTGCTTTTACTATGGAGTTTTTTTAATAATCTTTGAAAAGCTGAAATGCTTATGCTTAATTCATCAATCTCAGGAGATTGCAATTTTCATGAAATAAGTCTATGATGTTTGGTCCAGAACTTGGATTCAGAGATATGTAAAGTTAAACTTAATATCCAACTGTGAACCTATAAAAAAATATTTTAATACTTCTGTGAAGCCTCTAGATATGATCCCATTCTACAGACAGAACAGAGGTACTGGACTAATCTAAGTAAATCAACCTAAACCTCTAATTCCCAAATCCCATTTCCTACCTCCCAACAACCTATCACATATCCCATTTCCAAAATTAACTTAATCCCCAATATTCATTTTCTCAGAGGATGGATGAAGGCCTACTTCTGACAGACTTTGCTGAATCCCTGGAGCTGACATATTTCTTGAAATATTATCAACTTTTTTTTTAAACTTGATTCAAACATACCCTGAGAGAACCTTTCAGTCAAAAAATTCAACTTGTGATGATTGCTCAAATGCTTTCTTTTAATAAGCAAATTAATTTTTATTCCAACTTAAAAGCACAAATGGAAGTGAAATTTCGCACATACTGGCTCACGCATCAGCAGCGTACAGCTGTATATCTGTCTATCATTGCCAGAATTTTAAATGTTTTTCCTTAAAATAGAATTTATTTAATAATCTGATTAAATCTAAAGAGGAAGACAATCAAGTTTTCCAGGTAGTAGTGCTGAATAGGCTTTTTTGTGGCAAATATAAAAGTAACACAGATTCAGAAAAATGAAATTAAACATAATTTTATGCATGCATAAGGAGCATCCCACATTCATGAACTTTCACATAACCCCTCAGAGCACTTGCAGAGCCCAGAACTCTATACGAAGCTAAAAAAAGCAGAATCTTATTTCTTTGGCAATCTACTAAGAAGAATTAGGCATAGAGTTTCTAACCCACTGAAGGTGAACAGAAGTACCTTTGGCAAATGTGGCTGTGGTGTTAATAACTCCACAGATGTATTTAAAGATCTAGAATTAGGATAAGCTCTTGAGCTACATGCAGGCCTTGAAATTTTATCCAAGCTCCCCCTTGTAATATCCATTGTGACCTAAAACTGGGGAAAAAAAAAAAAAAAAACAAAACACCTTCCAAATTATCAGTTTCATAATAAAGCAACAAAGCAACACAAGCCCAGTAATATTTCAGATGTAAATTAAAGTTTCAAATCCTCTCTAGCAATTCAATCTTGAGTGCTCTTTCCAGTATAGACTAGATTGTCACTCAAGTATACACTTCTTACTCTATGTACAAATATATAGCATCAAGCCAACCAAGGTATTCAAATATGATGTCAAAGAAACTTTAAAAGGCTTAAATTTTAAAAGTAATCTCACAACAAAGGAAATGTCATGGTGCTTTTTCTTTTTTTTAAAAAACACAGGACTGCCCAAGTTGGCAACAACAAAAGAATGAGGGTATTTTATAGACAACTTGAACCTATCAAATGAAGCTGCTAAAAGCTTTTTATATTCAGTAGTTCTAAATAGAGGGAGTTCCCAAATCCAAATTATCACATTCCCAGTCCCAACACGAGTTTAAACAGAAATGCACGGTTCCCTGCAAAAACTGTTTGAATTCACAGGAATTGCATTCCTGGGTATGTGACGCGCACCGGTAATTTTCAGAAGGCCCAAGTGAACACTTTTTATTTCAGTACAAGAAACAGGACAAACCGAGTCGCGTATACAGGTCCGTAACACCACACAGTATAAAGTGGGCGGAGAAGGAAACGAGTAGTTTGTATTCACTCGTTACAAATCCCGAATCTCTGGCTCACTCACTGAAGAGGCCCCTTCGCTCCGTTTACCACTTGCACCGGCACCGACGCGGTTTCGGTGGCGGGAGACGCGGGGCCGGGGGGAGCGGAAAAGCAAGTGTGAAAGACCCAAAATAACATAAACGAAGAAGCCAAAGCTAAACAACAGCTAAAGACCCAAAGGATTCCGGAATAACAACAGCAACAACAACAACAACAACAACAAAACAAAAAAACAAAAAAAAACCAACATACAAACAAGCAAAAAAATAACCTCACAGGAGGTTTCAACAAGCAAGCAGGAAGACAGGCGGCCCTTCCCGCGCAGGCCGGAGCGCCAGGCGCTGCCCCGGCGCCGCAGGGCCCGGGGCCGGCCCGTCCTTCCCGCGGAGGCAGCGCCGCAGCCGTTGTTACCGTTCCCATAACGACCAACGGCATCGAACTCTCGCGAGACGTGCCTGTGGCCGCCTTCCACTGGGCCGGTACCATCGTCGGGATGGGGGAAGAGATGGTGCAGGAGTTGGTTTTAGTCCGGTTCCAGGAATGAAAAGACAATGAAGCTTTCACTTGCTCACGAAATATGAGCTACTTTATTACCCCGCCCTGAAGCCTGTCTTCTCCATCCTGGCAAATAGAAGTGTTGCGTGGAGCGCGTCCTTCTCCTTCCCCCCCCCACGCCCAGATAGTTGGCCTGTGCCGCGCCCGTTGCCGGGGCGGAGGGATGGTGGCGCTGCTGCTGGCGGGTTCTTGTCTGTGTGGCGGGACCGGGCCGGGCAGCGCCGAGACGTGGGAGGCCGGGCCATGGGAAAGGAAGAGCCTGACTCCGCGTCTGGCTGAGACTGTCACCTGGACGCAGAGCGGCGGCGGGCATTCTCCCAGTGGGTTTCGGTGTGCTAGGGAGGCTTGTCCTTCCCTGGCGCCGATGCCTGCGGAACGCTGCGGCTCTCGGCTGCCTGGGCCCGTGAATAACGGGAACGGCGTCTTAAAAGATGGGTCTCCCTCCGTAGGCGCGTGCTGCCGACGGGGTGAGCGCCGGGCAGGGACGGAGATGCGAACGCGGGGTCGGCAGCGCGCGGCGGGGCCGGCAGGGGGCGCTGTGGGGCCGCCCTCAGCCGCGGCCGTTCCCGCCTCGGTGAGGGGGCGGCGTTTGGAGGTGTTGCACCCAACGGTGGCGGGGGGGAAAGTGACTGTATTGAGCCTTTTAAACAATGTATCGATGCAGCGAATTATCATTGCTTCTTTTGGTAATATGTATGTCTGGTCTCCTGCGTAAGTTGTGTCCTGTTTACTTGTAAACAAGGATAGCCGAATTGCTTCTAAATAAATGGTTTTTTAGGGCAAAATACTTTTAAAATAAACTCACTAAAACTAATACTGTGGTCACCCTTTTTTATCTGAGTATTCACTGTTAATAAGGAATTCAGTGAATAAGGGGAGTGTAATTACATTCCCAATCCTATCACTTTTTATTTCTCTTCTACATTTATATAGGATATGAGGATTAATTCCTGTGTTCTGATTAACTTTTAAAAACTGCAAGGATAGTTACTGGCCCCTACGACTTCCTTTGATACCCTTGTATGTTAAAATCAGGTTTTCACTGGTGGCAAAAATTCACAAGAAGCAGTCTGAAGGAACAGACTTCATTTTGTTCAAAGTATAGTTCTGACTGACAAATTTTTCTGCCAAAAGAAATCTTACTTTGTTGGGGACATGTATTTGCTGTCTGCAGTCGAGTTTTTATTGATAGTTATAATATATGGCCTTCTACTGTGATTCCTGGAAGTGCCAGTAAGAGAAGAACAACTTTTCTTGGTATTTAGTGTAGTAACAATGCAATGTGCTTTACAGTCAAGAGGTGAAGACAAATACAGAAAATAATGGCAGTGAACCACATGTATTTTAGCCTCCTTCCTAAGCATGCTGAGCTCCAGGTATGTTAAAATTCTAACATATATCCTACAATTGCTAGTGCAATACCATAGTGGTCTTTGGAATGTGTGGTGCTTCTCAGATGGTGCAGATCATGATTTGAAGCAAAAATAGAAGACTGAATGTTTACATCCACAAGTTGAGTATTTAAGGCCAGTAATGACAATGAGAAAGCAGCAGAATGGACAGCACAGTTCAGAACTGGCTAAACTAAAACCTGGCTTTTTCTGTACTAGGAATTACATTAGCAATGAATAATGAGGTATGGAAAGCTGCTAGGTATAACTACCCCGATATTTATTTTTTTCTACAGTGGAGTATATATACTTAATAGCTGACAGTTCTGACTTGCTATCAGCTTCCCATATTACAGACTGCCTACAACCTCAAAAGTGCCCATGAAAGGAGAGTGTCCAGCTCTGCATTTGGTAACAAACAGATATAAAACTCCTTTGAAAGTGGTGCAGGAACTGCTGCTTGTCCACACAGAATCAGTGAAGGTTTTCAATGAGGCTGTCACACCTGAGAGTAATAATAATGGCTTAGCAGGGATATCTCAAACCACAGTTGCTCTTATAATCTGTGAGTGTCATGTGTCCTAGAAGATCCAGAAAGGAAAAGAACAGGTTCACAAAGTTCACCTCAAATCCTGCAAGTCTTCATCTCCAGTGAGAGGACTGAACTTTGTAAACATTATTAAATATTACAGAATCTCAAATACTGTTACAGATGTATTTATAACGAAGTTTGTACTAGAAAAGCAGAACAAAGGGTATGATGATTTAAAAAAAAAAAAAAGGGTTGAATGGGAAAAAAATTATGCATATAGGAAGGGCACAGCACTCCCAAGATGTGCTTTTCATCCTAAAAGACAGGTTACAACATGATGAAGACTTAGACAAGCTGTCTTGATACTCAGAACACGGTCACCATAGTAACAGAATTCATTTATCTTTTTCTCCCTATTCCAATCAAGAAGAAACACAAAAGAGGGAGAAAATAAAAGGAACTCTTATCTTTATACTCCTCTGCTGAACAGCATTTTAATACACAAATAGGTAGCCAAAACACTTCCATTGTCTCATACAGGTTGGAGAGCAAGTTATCAAGACTTTGTTTAATGCTTGTTAGTTATTTGTCTTTGATATTCTTTTGTGTACTCATCTGAAGTAGCTTTACTTTACCAGAGGCAGTATTTTTAAGGTAGACTGTAACAGTTCCAGTACTCGGATCAGGACAAGCACGGCTAATTTTCATTATATTAATTCCCCTAAATATTAGGGGAATAAGCAGACCCTCTTCTTGCTAAGGACAAACAGATTATCTATTAATATATTTTGATTGGTGTGTGCCAAGTCAAGGGCAAAAAGTTGGGAATTTTGGGCCCTATTCCAACTTTTCCAGAAACCATTGGTGAGGATGAGTAGAGTTCTGCAAGTGTGCTCCATCAGCATAGTAACCTCTCAGCTGAGGAGGAGAGGCTGAACTAAAATGTTAAGTCCAGAGACAATGGTAGAACTTCCATTGTGTTTAATAAAGCCAGGTTTTCATTCTTTGACTTGCACTGGGAAAGGTCCTGCTTTGAGGAGACTGTCTTCTGTGCTGCCACACCTCCTTCTGCTGGAAAACAGCGGAGTTTAGGAAGCAGGAGCTCAAACCAGGTTGTGTTGTGCTGAAATGTGTCAGTGCCATCGGGTGCAGTGTGTTGGAGCTTGCCACCAAACAGGTGCAAGGGGACCAGAAGAATGAGATCCTACAAGTGTCTAAGGACCTTCTTCCGTGGCTGAGGATATGATCCAGGCAAAAAGTAGAGGGTTTATTTTTACAGAAAACGGATGCAAAGAAGATAGACTACTGCTAAGTACTGTGTGCGAGTAAATCACCATCTTGGTGCATTATGTTTAGCCATAGGGAACCTTAGAATGCAGAAAAGCTGTGTAGAGAAACCGTGGTTTCCATTAACAAATGTGTATTCCAGAATTGGATCTGACTTGATTATTTCTTATGCTTTCTTTAAAAAATAGTCCACTTTCTCCTCACAGAGCAGAAGGAAGATAACTGCTCCTAAGCACATGCAGAGGGGCTTTCATGGAGATGAAAAATGCTTCTGCATCCCACTCTAGTACTGTTGTCCCTGAAGAAAGCAATCAGAAAAATCAGCCTCTGCATACTTTTCATCACCTTCGGCTGATTTAGCAGCTTAAAAACTGAGAGGGAACAAAGATCCCATTGGGCTGGTACCTGCTGTTCCCCCTCTGTGTCCTCCAGGGGAGGGCAGGAATGAACTTGCTCATGACTGCAAGCACCAGCATCTGGACTTCTGTAATTTTCTACAAGATGTGATTTGTTTTGTTGCATTGTGTTTTCCTAAACTGTCCTTGAATTACACAACTACTCAAGATTGCAGCAGCTAACATCGTGGTCCCAGTTTGATAGTTAAAGCCATAATTAGAACTTGTTCAGAAATCCTGCTAATATCCCTACTTTGCACAGAGAAAGTCACTTCAAATAAAATAAGCAGCAGTCTTTTGAAGAGATAAGAGTGTCTAAAAGCAATGACTTCATATCTTTTGGAGGAGGGCAAGTCCTTTAAACTCAAAAGAAAAAAACCTAAACTCCTTGATTATCTTATACTGACTCCTACGTAGGTTAAAGCACAATTACACAGGAACTTAAATAAGACTAGAAGGCAGGGATTTTGCTTTTTTGCTGTTTACATTCCTTATCAAATTACGCAGTGCAAGGTCAGGTGCTGTGAACGAGAGGACTGACCAGAGTTCTGTGGGACATGTAATCCCCTCCAGAGCTGGTTACCTTCACAGCAGCTTATGGGACAGCTCCTCTTGAGCTGGAACCCACTGCTAAGTGCCAGTCCCTCTGATCTTGAGCCACAGCCTGACTTCCTCTCCAATCTCCAAGACGCAGCCCACTGGCTGTATTCCTGGAAATATTTTCCCCCAAAACAGGGAGCAGAGTAGAAGAGTTACAGAGCAGAATACAGAGTTTCTAGAAAACAACTGCTCTTCTCTGGAAGTTTACCCATTGCACAAAATACAGTGTTGCCAAATAGACAACCAATATAGCATTATTTGGTACTGAAGGACTGTGTGGGTTTTTTCTTCAATTTTTACAGGACGTTTGTTTGAATTTAACAATATTTATTGAGGTTATCTAGGAACAGTAAATTGACATTGTCCCCACAGTCTTTTCATCCTTTTTAAAGGATTTCTTCCTTTAATATGAGCTCCATTTTCTATTTTTCTCCCCTAATTGCTAGAATAATGAGTTTTAACTTTCCTTCTGCCAAGTTTATTCTCCAGTAACAAGATTTAGCCTTTAAATCTATTTGCACAGGACAAATTACCCTAGGCTTTCACTTTTTTAATTCCCACAGCTTTGTTTTGTACTTCACTTTCTTTCATCAATAACCTGGAGAGAAAAATTTATCTTACCAACACTCGTGGTGGTTAAAAACAACCACCATAGCAAAAAACCCACTCCACTTCCACTTATCTTTAATGTTTTGATAAAGAAGAAAACAAGTCTTGATTTTTTTTTTCATATTAGATGCTGCAAAACAATTTGACCAGTAGAAATAATTTGAACAACAAGCTAACAGACAGTAGTAATGACTCAGAGTTACCACTGCCTTAGATTAAGTTAGAAATCAAACTCTACAGGTCAAATATTCCATCTTGCATAAGAAGTCTCCTGAATTACTGTTTTCTGATTAAAATTTTAGCTCAGAGGCTGTATGATGAATTTTACACAGATTATTTTTTCTATGCAAAGACGTGCTTTTGTGGTTTTTTTCCACTTCCCTTAAACATTCAAATGGATAAACTGTTAAAAGAGGGACTAAAACAAAACATTCCCAAATAATTCTTCAGGTATGGAAAACCACCTTAGTTAATTTCTTGGTGAAAGGTTTCAATGTCTTCAGATACAATCTGCTAAAAAAAAAAAAAAACACAACCATATAAGCAAGTTTTTACATGTATCCTTGTTGAAAAAAAAAAAAAAAAAAAAGATACTTTTGTCTCAACAGTCAAAAACCACCACAAACCCCTTGCATTCCAGCAATGACAAAACAATTCTGTGCAATTTGGCTCTGTATTTATCTTCGGCATTTCATTCAACATGAGTTGAAAAGGACAAAACTAAAACCAAGTTTGCTTTCCTCAAAGGAGTTCAGATCATTTATTCACATACATTAATCACAGAAAATTTGACCAGTATCTGTATGTCAGTGAGTGATAAATACTAAATTTAACCAAAATTCACAAGGAAACTGCAACTCCTACTTTGCTCTTGAGGTTTTGAGGATTTTTTTGAATGGCATCTATTCTTTCACTAACTTTGGCAAAACAAACACTCCATTAAATTACTTTTTTATCAACACTTTAAAAAAACCTGCCTGCTATTGTACTTCTCTACCTCTGCCACAGAAGGAACACCTTTTCCTGGAGTACTACTTCTGTCTGATTTCAGGGAAGCTATGTCTGCCTTCTCATCTCTGTTTCTAAGAAGCAGGGCAAAAACTAGCAAGGAAGTGCACTGAAACCAAAGAGGAAATGGAAAAAAACATCATTTACACAGTAATTTATAAACTTTTTTTTTTAATACATTTTTATTAAAACATTTGCTTTTAATGCCTTGTAGAAATCCACCATCTTGGAGCCATCGGAAGCTGCTGACTTTCTTCAAACACGTCAAAGGAAAACCAGGTACATCTCCAAATGCTGCTTCAGCAAATTTTTCTTACTTTTAACATTAACTGCTTGGATTCAGTACGCTACTGTGAACTTGGCAAGATTCTTCACCTTGTCATTTTAAAAGTATACTTTAAAGAAAACTACTTTTAATAGGCAGTAACTACAGAAAAAGGTTCAGCATGCACCAAAGGGCTAAAGTACAGGAGAACCACAAGGAATACACAGATGTTACTAGACTGTGCTTTTAAGAAACTACCCACAGAGACAACAGGGAATGCAGATAAGGAAGAAGGAAAGACTACTTGCAACTGAACAAGGATTAAAATGCCAGGGTTACAAGAGTTTCAGGTCATTTAACAGACGGATACAGTTTAAAATTCACACTCAGTATAAACGAGACAATGTGCCTATGATGACGTGGGGGGACAAGCTGCAGTACAATGCCTCATCTCTCACAGAAAGGCTGGTGTGCTGGTACTAGGGATGGCACGGCTCTGATTCACTCAGAGGCACCAGATTTGAAAGTCTCATGTTCATACACCAGGTGGTCTACTCTGTGAGATGGGTGGAGAAGGGTGGTTGGTATCTGTATCTGTGAAGGTAGAAGGAAAACCTCCCTTCCTCTGACAATAGTGGGCAATGGCATTAATAGACCTTCCCTCTGGGGGTCTGTTATCAGCCTCCTCACTCAGCAGTTCAGTACAAGGCTACCAGCACTTCTGACCCTTTCCTTTCATTTGCTAGCTTTCCCATAAGAAAACAGCACAGTGCACCAGCAGGTGAGTCTGTCTTAAGGTTCACCCCTTGGTTACTTACACAATACGTACATTACACTGTTGGGACATTTGCATATGCCCTTTATCACAGGATCAAGGTGTTGTATTTATGCCCTTGGCATATACATACTTGTTTTCTGGAGTCAGGATTTGTCCTGCATGGTCTCCAATCGTTTTTACTTAAAACTACAAGAATATATGTGTTTTTTTTTTTTTTTAAAAAAAAAAAAAGTCTTTCTCAGGTTTGACACACATGACAATCTGCGTATCCTTGACTCTGCTGAAGTTTTAAGCCAAAAAATAGTGAATTAGGTTTTAAAAAAGTTTAGAAGTTTGGCAGATACTTGTTAACTATTTTGTGCAAAAAGTCCAGCGAGTTTTATTTCTTAACACTGATTTAAGAAATGGGCTTAACAGAAAATAGATGTACTTAATAGCCCATCTTACTTCATTAATGAAATGTGCAGAACCTTGCTGTGTCTATTTACAGGAGGTTAAGACTTACCCATTTTGCATCTATCTTCTGCTCCCTACAGCCTTTACTTTGATACCCAGTCCATTCTAATCCAACATGAGGTTTTCCAGCAAACTAACTGACATATTGCCATCCTTCAGCCATACAAAGTGTTCCCAAAGCCATATATGCTTTTTGAAAGTTAATCAGGCAGGTATCACTGTAGGGATTTCACAGATAGAATAAGAGTCACCATCTTTTGATATATTATTTTCATGAAAACATATTAATAAGGAACACTTGTATATACATTTCCCTTTTGTTTGTTTGCTTGTTTAAATTATATTTGGCACAAAAAAAATCAGCCTGTAACAAATTTCAGCATAACAAAGATCCATGGGATCACATATATAATAGAAGATGACCTTCCTCTGTCACTTAAAGGTCCTGCTCTTACTAAGAATCCACCTTGGGAAAGATACTGACTTTATTGTTTCTGCTGATTTTTCTTTCTGCTTTACACTTAGGCTGTTTCGTCTGGATTAGCTCTTCAGGGGTATTCCCCAAAGGAGGCAGGAGTCGCTTCTTACTGTTTCGGTTTTCTGAGAGCCACTGTGGAGGCAGCTCAAAGGGTCCAAAACCAAACTGCATGGAATACTTGTCATTTACCATATCAGGCTCTGTGGGCACAGCTGGCGCCACCTGCGCTGCAGAGTCTGCAATCATCTGTGGTATAAATTTGCAAACCGAAGTCTCTCCTGCCTCTAAACTGGTGGTAGGAATTTCTTTCTGTTGAAAGTCACCAGAGCCAACGGATTTGGTCTCAGTCTCCTCATCTTCCGTTGGCTTGAAGATTTGCTGTTGCCCGATATGAAACATCTCCAGCAGCTGGCTCCCTGAACGGACACCGGGCTCCAGATTAGCGTCTGCAAGACCACCTGAGCTGACAATGTTTCTCCTGCTATACCTCCGGTGCAGCTGTACTAATGTCCCCACTAAGCACTTCCGTACTGATTTGTTAACAGTTAAAAATAACAAAGGATTGGCCAGCAAAGACACCTTGGGCAACCAAATGGCAGTGAGGAGCAAGAAGACTGAAATATCTGAAATATTGAGTATGGTGCGGTAAATCACCAAAGTCACGTAGGGGACGCTGCAGAAAATAAATATCATAACCATGGAAAGCAGCATGGCATGAAGCTCAGCTTCTCTCTGGGAGGCATAAGGGATAGAAATTGTATTCTGAGGGGTCCTTAAGGCAGCTATGATGACTTTTTTCTTCTGGCTGGCACTCAGTGCCCTGCGAATGAGAATCATAAAGAGAAATACCACAGCCACTGGTACAATCACAGTGGTGATGTTATAGATGATGACGTATATCAGGTGGCCAAGGGAGTAACTCCAAGATTCAGAACAGGTGGACATAGCATAAATATCAGACACATTGGTCACAGCAAATACTGGAATGCTGGCCACTATTGCATGGGCCCAGATATAGATAACTAGGTCTCGTGATTTTGCATCAGATATTTTTCTTTCCAGAGGGTATAAAACAGAGTAGTACCTGTAAAAAAAAAAAAAAATATATATATATATATATATATATATAAAATTATAACTGATAGAATGCAAAGGCTGAAGTCTATAATGAGCGTAGTGCTTACGAGAAGCCTTCCAGGAGTTGTCTGAGCATAATGCCCCAAATCCCTATCTGGGCTGCCAACTGACTACCTGCTTATGAGAGGAAAAAAACAAAACAAAACAAAACAAAACAAAACAAAACAAAACAAACCCAAGGGTCTGCCTTTGCAGGGCTGTCTGTAGAAAAAATTTGAATATTCACATTTCAGGATCACATTATTGGTGGTGAACAATTCTTTCAATAATTGGGACTATATCACTTTGGCTGATGTGTATGAACATCATTTTGAGAACTTCATCATTTACTTGTAAGCTCGACAGTATGTTGCACACAGCACAAAATTTCAGAAAACATGATGGAGGCATAGATATGTTGTATTGAAAGGCCAGACTCACAGTTAATTTGAAAAGCTGCTTTATGGTAGATTTTTTTTTTTCTGGATATTTGGAAAAAGCTGCCAGTCACAAATTACATGTACCCATCTACTAGAAGTACAATGGGGTTTTGTTTTACACAAGCTCTGGTTGGCAAGGCCCTGAGCAAAAGAGTAGTCAAACACTGAACATCTGTGTGCATTTAAAAAAAAATTAAAAAAAGTGCATCTCTGACACGCACTTCAAATTTCAGGCATGGATTCATTGCTTGCCTACTACTCTGGATTTCTGAGCTCACAATTTTCATGAGACCTATTCGTTTACATTTACCATTATAAGCAGTAGCAGTTTGTGCTTTTTGTGAGGAAGATCACAAGTTTTACTGGTGAAAGGCAAATGATATGCTGTTCCAGTGGCAACACTGGTGTGTGTTACAGTTAGTAATACTGCATTTATCAGGACATTAACATTAAAGTAAGAGATATAACACTATTAGGTATACAGTTTGTTTCTGTAGAGCTAATGTATTCTGTGGTGAGACATGATAACAAACAATAATTTTATTTAACATGTATAAATCCACAGTTTCAGTAATGTAAACTGTATGAAACCAGTGTCTATCCTTCCTAAAAATATCTAACTTACAGTCACTGTCAAGATGATAGAGCTGTGCATTTAGGTGGGAACAGTGACTGCTAATAATAATAAGCAGAATGAATGGAATCCAAAAACTCAGAGACCAAAGGGCCACTTTTGTTTTAGCCCGATCTTCTACATACAAAACCTCTCTGAACTAAGTCTGGTTGAATTAATATTGTTTGGGGTTTTTTCAAACAAGTCTACATCTGAAAATTGAAACTGATGGACCATCTACCTCAGGCATTGGTATACTCTTCTAACAGGCAATTGCTTTCAAATTCCAACAGTTAAAAATGTGCACCTTGTATATACTCTGAAGTTGTCTGCTTTCAAGTTCCATTACTGAACAAGAATTATTAACAAGAAGAAAGATAGGATAAAAAACTTCTCTGAAGACAAACCTATAGATTCAAAGTCCTCTATAAATGTCCAGAGATATCAGAGTAAAATGAAAAATAAAGGTTTTCAATGTCACAGAGAAGAATATTTATCCCAATACATTATATAGTGAAGCTGTACTCTGTGAGTAAAGTGCTGGAACAACAGCAAGACCAATATGATGGGGAGAAAGAAGAAAGAAAAATCAAGGATGCTGGCAAAATCTTACCTGTCAAGAGCAATGGCTGGAAAACTAAGGATGGTCACTGAGCAGAAGACTTTGTGCAGAAACTTGGCAATTCTGCAGAATAGCATCGTATAGATCCACCAGCAGCAGTGTGGACTGGCACTAAGAGCAATGTCAAAAGGCACACAGACCAGGCTGGCACAGATCCCCGAGCAGGCCAAATTCTTAATGAATCGGTTTGTTACAGATTTAAGTACCGATGTTCTGCAAGTTGACCACAGCACCATGATGTTACCTGCAAATAGAGACAGGAAGGATAAACAAAGCAAAAAAAAAAAAACACAAAACAAAACACCAAACAAACAACCATCCCCAAAACCCAACAACAATCATTTTAACAGACTTGAATGTTCTCTAGTACTGCAAATAAAAATTCTTGTTTGGAGTTTGCCAGGAGTCACTCATTTGAACCATCACACTGCTCAAACTAAAAAATGTGTAATGACTAGTGGCTTTATAAATCAAATGGCTGAAAACAATTATTCCCCAGCTATCTCCTCCCAGCTTCTAGTAATGCATGAATTAGGGAATTTCAGAGGGAAATGCCTAAGCAGGATATCCATACCATGTTATTATATGCTTATGTTGACTCTTGAATTAAATGAGCCATCCTGAGTATTCAAATACAAAAATTTGCTAAAGTGCTTACGTTTTAGTAACTAGTGCATAATTATTTTTTAAAGATAAAAATACACTGTAAGTAAATACAAACATAATTAAAATATATATAAACGTATGGTTTTAATCTGTTTGTCTCTATGTGTAAGTGGATCACAGCAGCTTGCTTTTCTTTCCACTGGTCACTTCAATGGCACAGACAGGCCTGTCTCTATGAAGCTACATCCAGAAGGAATTTGTCTTTTTTTTTTTTTTTTTTTTTCCCCCAAGAGATCCTATAAAAGCATAGTAACATGTAATTAAACAAATGGGACAGGCAAAAAAAAAAAAAGTCAATGCACATAACTTCACAAAAGTACATACAGAATGCAACCCACTGTTTTGGATATTCAAGCCCTACACACTTGTTTCAAATAGGGTGACTGGATCACAGTGAAGCAGAAGTACAGACAGAAACCAGCATTAGCTAAGACAGTATTTTTCCCTTATCATTGTATCTTATTCTATCCAGATCCCAGAAAGAAATATCATATCACATAAACAAATTTTCCATCACAAATTTCCATACGATTCTAACTCACACAGCAACAGCACAAGAGTAAATGAAGCAATCTGTTCGTACTGCATGCAGCTCTGGGCCCCTTATAATGCACACCAAGATGCCAACACACTCATATTCAGAATCCAGGATTTTATCTCTCCTTTAAAAACCTGTCTTTAGCAGGTTGTTTCCTTTTTTTTTTTTTTTAAATTCGAATAAGAAAAATAGAGTGCTATCAGGAAAAAAAAAAGCTTAATAGCACTGTCCAAAAATGAAGGTTAATTTAATATTCAAGTATTATCTTGAATGTCATAAAGCACCCGCAATTCTCAAAGCTTTTCCCACTTCCAATTAATACAAGTTAAAGACAATACTATAGGTGAAGGGAATGCAGACACCCACTGTATGGCCACAGAAGTGCTTACTTGCCCAAAGTGCATTTTGTGCACATGGAAGGAGTCCCGAGGACAGCTCAGCCCGTGCTGGCTGGCTGTGAGAATCACCCACCTATACTTAGCCACTTGCTGCAAACTGCCTGGAGCGCTCTCAGCTCCAGGGGCCCGACATACCTGGAACTACTCCACATCCTGCCTCAGCAACTTTCTAGTTCTGCCTTGCTCTGCTCAGACTGTGAAGTCCCTTTCCCCTGCGCCCATATGGGCAGTGGGGAGTGATCTTAAGGAGGGAGAGGCACCGAGAAGCAGACAGCCCGTTCGGGCTTTCCTGTGCCGTCTTCTTGGCTCTGGCCTCACCTCCCAGGGCAGGCGACACGTAAGAGGCAGCAAACCCTTGCGCTGATCAAAGGCACCTTCTGTGGTACCCAAGGAGACGGAGACATACTAGTGCAGAGCTAAGGGGGCAGGAGGATCTCTGTGAGCAGAGCCGAGTGGGGCACACACATCCTACCTGACGTACCCTGGTCCTGGCCTTCCACTCATGCCTGCACAGACACTGTCTTGGCTCTGAATCCAGCACCTAACACCTGAACGTTCTAGTGCCATCTTCAGACAAAGCATTTGAAGACTCACTGACAGCAAGAGGAAACAGAAGCTTTCAAAGTGTGTGAAAACTGGAAGGCAGCAGATGAATGTGCAAGGCGACCAGAGCAAGTGAGAAGCATGAATTTTTAAAGGTAAATGCAGATCGTATTTCTAAGCAAGCTGTCCAACTGAAACTGGAAGGTGCCTAATGTTTCAGCTACATGTTTGTCACATAAACATCATAAAAACAGGACAAAAACATGCAAAGTTTACTCAGGGGTTTCAGAAGCATTCTTTGTAAACTTACAAGGCACCAGTAATTTTCAGAAAGCATTCACCCTTTTATGAAATGATCTGACAAAGAAATTAAAGCAAACATACTTTACACAACTACCTCTAGTAATTCTTCACGGTGGTTTTAATGGAGAAAAATGTCTAGTGGAGCACATACCTCTTGATGACACTATCCCCTAGCTAAACAATTCTAATGTAGTTTATTATATACCTCTCTTTCCGTAAGACACTAAGCAACAGAGTCATTAAATCATCTTACCAGACAGCAAATCCAAGACAAAAATAAAATGTAATAGCGTAGTGCATGAGACTGATTAAACTATGTAAAAATTTTCATGCTGAAGAAATACCACAATCATTCTTTGTTATTCAGTTAACTGTGCACCAGGCAAAAACTGTCCTGAATGACAGGTATTAGTGAATTGACCAAATCACGCAGCTGTGCTCAGTGCACAGCTCGTGTGTGAGCTAGTTGTTTTGCACTAGCAGTAACTACATGGTAAAGGCCAGTATCATCTTAATGAACTGTGATTCTCCTTTACTTTATTTCTCCTGGAGACATACTATGCAGTACCACCAAATCAACCAAAGCACAGCTACCAGCACAAAAATACTGCTTGACAAGAGAACTCCATTTACTCTGCTGCCACGGGATAGCATCTGGAGCCGAGCTTAGCTTCCTAACTCCATGAAAAGTTAAGTTGTTCTTACTGCAGAGTATATTAACAACCACATGTTGTTGATACTATATATTGTTGACACTTACAGAAGCTCTTTTGAGTTGAAGTTTAATTGGTTTATGAAGCTGTCAGAGTTGTTAGTGTTTTCGTAGGGTACCTATAAATACACACAATGAGAGAAAACAGCATCTTAAGCTTTTATTTGCTGAGTAGAGTTTTCCTATGGTTGCCCACATAAAGTGCCATTAACATCATATTCTTATTCACATGGTCAGTGTGTATACGAAGTGGCAAGTACCAAGAAATACCAGAAGGTCAAGTTTAGCTTCTTGATAAAACAGTGCACTGTTTCAATAGAAGCGTGTAGTATTAACTTTAAAATCTACCTCACAGGCGTACTATTTAGGTCTGCAGTACTTGAACATCATTTGAAATTCAATTTACTATATATTGTGTCATATGTTTTATGCAAATTCCTTTTTGGTTGCTGACAAAATATTGAGTTATGTATTTACCATCTGATGTGTTGTAAAGAATGGAATCATCATCTAGGTTTGGCAGGTGCTTGACAATATATTCCACAGGCAGTATTCAATCAGTTATACTTAAAGCTTCCTAAGTTGCTAGGAGATATTCAGTCAATCAAACCACTTGCTTTCAAAAATATCTCTAACTCTCAAGTTATTAAAAGAAGTACTTCTCACATAGTAATAATTTCTTATTACAATGCCCTGGAGTAGGAGAAAAGCTGGAGTTTCTTGTTGCTTGGGTTATTTAATTTAAATCTTTCATCTAGTTTGAATGGCATTGATTTTATAACCTTACTTCCAAAGCAAGTTTCACCTCAATTAGAGCAAATATAAATGAAGAATTGAAAAATAAAAGAAATCAGAGTGTTTTTCATTAATACTTCAGAAGCTGCTAGAGAACTCCTGAACTATTCTTCAGGGTCCTCCAAAGGAGCTTCATTTAAGACTGGTGATTCTCAACTGTTAAATTACTTCTACAAATTATGTCATATTGTCATTTATACATCAGAGAGTCACAAGGAAATTAAATTAGCTCTGATGCTGACTGATCTTAAATGGAAGTGGAAAGGATAAAGCGTAAACAAAAAAATACCAAGAGTTCTAAGATGAGGAAGAATTCTTCAGACAGACAAAATAAAGTCAGAGACTGAAAGGGGAAAAAAGGATAAGCAGACAGAAAAGGAGAAGCAACCATGAATAATTTGTGTATTAATAACTGCTCTAATGAACCAAATCAGCTTCAGTATAGACTGATAGATCTTTCTGCTGATGCCTTCAAACCAAGTATTTCCATTCATGCATCTCAAAGCCACCCACTCAGGAAAAAAAATACACCAGAAACTTTGCACTGCATTAAATATTAAGAAGCTTCAAAACAAAACTGCATGCATTTCCCATTTCAGTGCTCCTCATCTTTCCCCAGCAACTCCTTTCCACGGAAGAGGGTAACAACGTTCCAGGCAACAAGGTAACTCAACAATCATTATAGCAATCGCACTCTGAATCTTTTCACAATGTCTAGAGGCACTTTTTTGTTCTGTGTGTATTGGTTATTCACTGTTGAACCCAAGAAAGACACTAGTCTAACACCAGTATTCTCCTTGGCTTACAACCGTACTAGGCTGTTGCACATCCTCACAGTGGGCAAAGCTGTCATCTGCTACCATGGGTTAGCTTCTGAGGTGTTTCTGCTGGATAATTGGTCTAGGGCTACATAAAGTTGGATCCAGCTTCATAACGGGATTGTATTGGGAGGCATCCAGAGAAAGTTGGAGTGAACAAACAGCTGGAAAACGTAGCATCTCGCTGTTTCCTGTAAGTCAATGCTGCCTGGGACATGAGTGTCACTTGTAAACAGTCATATGTGACAAAGCAAAACCCATACTGGTTACACAGAATTCCACCATGGAAAGAAAAAGATTACGTTTTTTTCATTTAAAAAGGAAAAGTGTATATTTGATCCTCTCAGAGAATGAGCTATGTCTATATAAAACCCTTACTACAGCCAACGTTAGCTGACAACCTTGTCAGTACACAGAATGAGCAGGAAGTAAGTATCCAGCTTGTCTGTGCCTTTGAAAACTTCTCCAAGT